TGAATCCCAGGACAGGGATGCTGGCCTGCCCAGCCACGCTCTCCTCTCTCCAGCCCCTCAGACAGAGCTCAGCCAGGCTCCAACTTGGCCTCTCCCTGCCTCACACGAAGTGTGGGAGGTACCAACTAGCCACAGGAGATTAATTTTGAATCTGCAAAGTGAAAAACTCTCTCCTAAATGCGGATGATTATATTTACTAATTAAATTTTTTAATTTACTGATTAGCTTGCTTGCGTCTGGATTACTGTGTATTGAGCTTTTCTCAGGAAGCGAAACCTGTGCACAGAGGGGCATCCAGGATAGCGGGCAGCTGTGTGGGCTTAAAAGCCAGTGTGCCCGAATTCAAATCCCACTTCGCTTAGGCAAGTTTTTCAGCTGCTCTGAACCCATCCCCTCCTTCTATAACAAGGGAAGGGGAACAGGACTGATATCCTCAGGTCGTGGCTATTATAAAAATCAGCCACGGTGTACTGAGTGCCTATAACAGGCCAGGTATTCATTTCATTTCGCTTTTTTCTTTCTTTTTTTTGATGAATTTCACTTTTCCTGAATCTGTAGGAATACTTATAACAATGCTATGTGTTTACATTTATGTGTAACTTACACACAGTAAAGTGTGCAAATCTTCAGCATGCAGCGCCATGAGCTTTGGTGTGTGTGAACTCTATCTTCTAATGGAATTTCTGTCATTGTAGATCACTTTTGCCTGCTAATGAACTTCGTATAAATGGGCTTATACGACATGCACTCTTTTGGACTGGTTTCTTTCCCTTAACTTTATGGGGTTTTTACATTTTTTTTAAATAAAAGATTTTTTATTTATTTTTGAGAGAGAGAGAGAAAGCAAGCAGAGGGGAGGAGCAGAGGGAGAGGGACAAGCAGATTAAGACATAGGGCTTGATTCCACGACCTTGAGATCATGACCTGAGCCAAAATCCAAAGTTGGCCGCTTAACCGACTGAGCCACCCAGGCGCCCCACTCCCTTAACTTTATATTTTTGTCATTCATCCATGTTGCTGTGTTTATCAGTCATTTGTTTTTTATACAGCTGTATAATAGTCCATTGTGTGACTACACCGCAGCTTACCCATTGAACTAGATGTAATTACCATCATCTCGTCATCCTCATCCCATCTTGCAAATGAAGAAGCTGGGGCTCTAAGCTGCTTGCTAAGTTTTTAGCTGGACGTCACAGAGTGAGGCTGACCCTGAGCAGGGATTTGAACCCATGGCCCTCTGACGCCAAAACCTGCTCCTCACCCGGGGCAGCAAAGCCTACCATCCCCCTGGAGCAGTGGGGTGGGCAGAAATGAACTCTGTCCCATGTGGTCATGACCTCCCTCTCCCTGAGGTACAAGTGGGAGTCAGGGGGCAGCTACCTGACCGGCCCCGGGTGGTGAGAAAATTGCCTCAGATTGGCCGCTGCCAATATTTATTTTCACTGTACCCCAAGCTGATGGCGTAGGTACGGTTGTCACTCCTGGCTCTGAACCTTGAGACCTGGCCTTCGCCAACATGTCGAAACAACTGCAAACAGCCTAAATGTGGTGGGAGCATCCTCATCCCCTGCCCAGCAGCTGGCTCTCAAGGGCAGGAGGAAGGAACCTGGTCTGCCATGTGGACAGCCCTTGCCCTGGCTCCTCGGAGACTAGTTTCCCACAACAGTAACTCAGATGTTAACCCTTTGTGACTCTTGCAAAAGCACTGTAGGCCCTTAGGCCAGAAGGTTTCCTGTAATCCAAGCTTTACCCACCAAAACGTGGGTCATTACAGGGACTCCTAGTGCTGGCTTGACCTCAAGAAAAGGCCAAGGTTTTGTCCTGCTTTGCAACTCTCGGGGTCCCTGCTTGTGCCCAGCAGACCAGAAACCGGCCTGAGAAGGGCCATCCGCAAGGCAGCCGGGGGAGGTGAGGAGCCTGCGTAGCCTCCCCAGCCCCCTCCCCGTCTGAACTCAGGCACTGTTTCAGGCAGTCCAGCCAGACGTGATTAAATGGTTGGCTACGTGCAGGGGAGTGAGATCCCAGGGGAAGAAGGGCACAGGGCCAACTCCCCAGGTGGCCCTGGGGCACCCTTTGCTCTGTTGATCATTAACAGAAGCCACCCCATGGCAGGCAGAGAAGGGGAAAGTCCAAGGGGGTGGCCGGCCCCTCCTCCCAGGCACTGTCCTCCAAACACGCCAACCCCAGGCCGCGTGGGACATGAGATCATGACACTGAAGGGGTGTGTGCAGAGTCATCTAATCCAACTGGCTGCTTCTTGCGCCCCTACAAAGTCTCCAGGGGCCAAGGGAGACGGGAACTGACACTGGTCGATTTGCAGTTACCATGTGCCAGGGACTGTGCCAAATGTACTCAGCCGCCAGCCGGTGACACGGTGGTGAAACGCAATCAGGGAGCTGGCCTGCCTGGGTTCAAATCCCAGTGCCGCGAGCTATGTGACCAATTAGTGAACTCCTCTGCACCCCAATTTCTCCATATGGAAAATGAGAGAAGTGCCTCCTCCATGGGGTCATGTGAGCATTTAATGAGCTCACACACACGAAGTTCTGACTCCCTGCCACTTACGAAGAGCTGTCATTGCTAACCGTTCACTTGATCATCAGTCACCTCTTGAGATACAGATGAGAAAGCCAAGGTTGAGTCACCTGCCCAAGGCACAGCTGACACAAAGGGAACTGGGATCTGAACCCAGGTCAAAGTGTTCCATCTCCCTTCTTTCTCCAGGCCATGGAAGCTTCCTCCAGCCCTGACTCTCTCTGTCCCTTTGGCAACCAGGGCCTCACGATCCAATGAGCTGCAAAACCTATCTCATGTCTGCTCCCTGCTCTCTCAAAGGTCCTCCTTTCTCCAGAGTGCCAATGAGGTACAGGAGGACCCCAACATTCCTCCTGAAAATGAGGCTCCTGGCCCAGAGAAGTAAGTCATTGCTCAGTGGCCAAAATAGCTCATTTCCTTTTGCTGCCCCAAGGGAAGAAGACCTGTAGCCAAGGGTCAGACCATGGGTTACCAGGTCAACAGCCGTGGAGGCCCTGCCCTCATGTGGGCCCCCAAACCATAGATGCCCCAAGGTTGGGGACAGAGAGTGGGGAAGTAGTCCTTGTGCTCAAGGGCCTTGCTGACAAAGGCAAGGTCCTTTCCTGCTCCACTTCCCTTGGTGTAGGCCTTACCTCCAGCCATCCCTACAAGGTTCCTGACCTCCCTGCTGTAGAGGAGCTCAGGGATGGAGGTCTCCTGCCAGCTCTGGGCTCACACCTTCCTGGACCCTCACCAGCCTAGGGCACAGGCCCCTCCATCTTCTAACATCCTGGAAGAAAGGGCCCAAAGTGTTCCTGATAGTGCCTTTCCCACATAGCTTTGAAACTATCTCGTCCTCTACCTTAAAGACCTCAATGGCAGAAAATCCAACTTTGTGGTAATAACCGTGCATGGGCCTGAGCAGCTGCAATCCCAGCCTGTGTGCTTCCAATGGGGACACTTAGGTGGGGTAAAAGGTCAAGGTTTGGGGACAGGGAGCTTCCCAAGGCCATGGGAGCCTCCCCTTGCCTGTACAGGCAACCCCCACCCTCCAGGAGTCAATGCTTCTACCTTTGGTATCACTCAAGGGACCAACTCCAGCTGAAGCAATTCTGGGGAGGCCCATGGGTATGCTTAGCTCCTGGGAACCCAGCCAATGTCACCATGAGCTGAACTAGAAAGATGTCTGCCATATGTTCATCTATGCCTACAGGGAATGAGCTCAAGGTAAACAATTAAATGTCTTTTTTGCCTTTAGTCAGTGAGGAAGATCACATGCCCCAACCACCACCACCAGCCAACACACACACACACACACACACACACACACACGCACACGCGCGCACCCCATTCCCTCCCTCAGGGACAACCAGCCTAGGTTCACTCCAGTCCCAAGGAGGGCTGCTTTTCCCCTACCTCCACCAGCAGCCCCTGCCCTAGGAAAGGTAGTTATCCCTTTTTCTCCCTCATGTATCTGCCCCCCAGCAGGAACCTGCTGGCCAGGGAAGTGAGAGTTGACAGGGTAGGTAAGGTAGGTCTTCTCAAGCCTCAAGGACAGCCCAGCCAATGTCTGCTGCAGACCAAACTGCCTGTGGGAGAGGCCAGGTGGAATCAAGGTGGAAATTCAACTTACTTCCTCCCACCCCCACAATTTACCAAGTGCAAGGAACCAAAGGCAGCCTCCAAAAGCAATATCCATCCCTGCCTCCCCCAAAAAAGAACTGCTCTCAAGAACCGGACTCAGGGTTTTCAGTAGGATCCAGCCCAGTGGTCATCTGGCCTTGGCTGCAGTGCTTCTAGCCAAGAGGACCTCACTCTCCCCAAGATGACAACCCACCTATTCTGCACGGCGTCGGGAGCGTAACAAGACTAAGGTGGTGGGAACTCCTGAGGACTTCCTGTTATGACTGACCGGTTTAACGGCCACTTCCCCCTAACAGCCCTCCAAATACAGAAGCGCATGTCAGCTCCAGGGGGAACCACCTCCATCCCCAGGGCTCTGGTTTGGGCCCCTGACCATCTTAGAGGCTCCTCTCCAAGCCACCAACGCTTCATCATGCCCACTCAAACCCGAACTGGCTGGAGTACCATGTGCTAGGCTCCCCCTCCACCATTTTGGCACTCCAATCACCACCCAAACGAATGAAGACCACAGACAGAAGACTGGAAAACCATGGGCCTCAGCTTTTCTGAAGGCCCTCCAAAGCTGCCCGGGTGCCCAAGGCTGGTCCACTGTCAAGAACCAACACACTGGGAAGATAACAGAGAAATGCGGGCTCCTTTGCAATACATTTCCATCCCATCCCCTCTCCGCTGAGACTTCCGGCATCAACAGAGGGAGCCAAAGCCATAGGTCTAGCTCGAAGGAGGAGGAAAAAAAACAACCAGTGCCCCTCCTCCTCCCCAGCACCTGCATCCTATACAAAGGACAAACCTACAGGCAAAGTAAAACCACAAACCAAGTAAAACCAGCTTCACCATCCGTGTTTCTTGAAAAAAACGGGGTTTATTGATTTTTAAACTGCAAATAGTCGTTACAAAAAGTTTTTTTTCTTTTAAATAAATTCACACAAAGAAAGAGAAATAGAAAGCGACGGTAGTGACCAGCAAGAGGAATAATAATTACATTCATCTTAATGTGTGTGCCAGTTCTGTTTGCATTAACATTGGAAAACTCCAAACCTGGAATCCAGAACCTCAAATCTGCAATCGGAATGTCTTGAGATGGGCACGTGGAAGTCAAAGGGTTTCTTTTTTTTTTTTTTTCCCTTTTAGAAGCCATACATAAAAGTTGTTTTCCTTCTGTACTGTCACAGAACTTTGACATACATTCTCAGTCCTAGCTGTGAAAAGGCCTAAAGAAGAAGAAACTCAATTTGCAGTCCAACACAAAGGGGGGAAATTTCTAAAATAAATAATCCAACAGTTTTTTGCATTTTTTTAAATTAATTTTTCATTTTTTTAAAATAAAATAACCAAAAAAAAGTGTAAAGTTACAAAAAATGTCGTTGAAGAATAATATATTAAAACTGTGGAAAAAAAAAGGAAAAAGACACGTCACAAAATTTTAAGATTAATATGAAGATCATAATTTAACATAAAAGAATATATTCTATGGATTTGTCATCCCGATAAATATGAACAAAATTAACAAAAAAAAGCATAGTTTTGGCAATAAATACGTTTTGATAAGTTAAATAAGCTTTTTTATATTGATGTGCAGTGACAAGCAAAATTTTTGCTCTCCAATTTCTGAAAGTTATATGAAGTTTAAAACCCAGGGAAAAAAGCATGGCGTGAGTGCTCTAAGGATAGACCTACGGTATTCTAGAGCAAAAACCATTAAAGCTACTTCTACAGGAAATCGTTTTACACAGATATTGTATGTGGAATGAATACCATTAACTGCTCACCCCTTACATGTTTTTTTAGCTTTTCTCTCATTTTTTTTTGTTATTTTTTTGTTTAAAGATGTCACATATGAACTGGGGAACTTTAGCACCAAAATCAAGTCTCTCATAGTCCATCTAGCTTCCCCATCCTCCCCACTTAAAAAAAAGAAAAGAAAAGAAAAAAAATTAAATCACAAAGTCCCACTTATGTCACAATCTTCATCCACTTTTTCAGTCTTCCTTCCTGTAGACCTACACGAACCCAGGCAAGATTAGTCAACAGAGGTTCAGGTCGGGAAGAAAAAGGTTTTGAATGTCAAGACAGGTTTCCCCAAAAACCCGAGTCTGGCAACAACTCTCCCAAGAGGGGTGTGGGGGTCGTGGGGAGAGGGAGGAGGAAGTGTGTGGGAGGCTGAAATAAGGGAAGGTGCAGTTGGGCCGCCAGTGGAGGGAGCTGCTGGTTTTGGGTCCCCTCCCCCTCCCCATGGGCAGAGGCTCCGGGAGGCCCACGGGTGCCCTCTGGCGCTGAAGAGGTAATGTAGTCACAGTGACAAAGTTAGATTACAAGGCACTAAATTGCTTCTGTAAACTGTTACTGCTTTTTCTTTTGTGATTTGGCACTTAAGGCTTAAGCCGGGGGGGAAAAAGGCATCTACTGACAAATATGGGACTTGTCTGTTATGCGTGGTAAGTGGGCTATAAAATCGAGGAGAGGGGGGTTTCAAGCCAGAGGAAGCTACTGACAAATTGACTTGTCCTTATGTTGGGGGGGGGCGGTTAGGAGCGGGGAGAGGGAGGGGGCATTCCAAGGTTCTGGGGGAAAGGGGTTGAGCTTAACCTTGTTAATGCAGGGGCTGTCGGGAATCAGTTGGGTAGGGAGATGAGGGTAAGGATGGGAGGGGGGAGTAGGCAGGGGGTCCCTCCCTACCCTGGTTTAGTCATCTGAGATGGAAAGTCTGCTGAAAATGGGCAGGCGTCTTGAGTTGTCCAAGGTGGGGGAATCAGAGCCACTGTGGCTACTGCTGGAGCTGCTCAGATAGCCCTCCTGGTCCGAGAGCGAATCCTGAGGGCTGGGGGGAGAGTCAAACATGTGAGGGGACTCGGACATGGGCCGGAAGAGGAAGGTGGTTGGGGAGCCACCCCCAGGCAGCCCCATGCTAGGGGCAAAGAGGCTCGCCAGCTCCTGGCTGGAGAAGGCGAAGGGGTTATTGGTGCCATCTGGCAGGGTGGGTGAGCCCAGGAGGTCATCGGCGCTCAGGATGGGGGGTGGGGTGATGGACGTGGGGCTGTCCAGCAGCCCCGTGGCAGCGGCGGTGGCGGCGGCACTGGGAAACCCCGCAAAGCTAAAGCTATGCTGGAGGCGGGGACGGTCGGCGGAGAGGTCCCGGGCCCCGGCCAGGGCGCGGCGCTCCTCGGCGTTGTGGATGAAGTGGCAGCGGGGCCCGTATGGGCAAAAGCCGATGGTGTGGAAGGTGCGGCACAGCTCCGTCTTGTACTTGGGGTGACGGGTCAGACTTCGGAGCTCGTGGATGCCATGCGCGAACTGGCACTTGTCCCCGTACTTACAGGCGCCGTTCTCCTCGAAGGGCCGGCACAGCTCCGTCTTGTAGCGGCTGGAGTTGACCTGGCCGCTCCCCGGCTGCTTCTGGGTGGGCAGCAGCCGCTCGCCCCCTTCTGAGAAAGAGCGGTCTCGGAAACGGCTGTCGCGGGAGCTCAGAGCTGGGGCCGGCTCGCCCTTGAGGCTGCTGAGGAGCTGGTTCTGGTGGAACTTGGAGCTGGGCAGGGTGACCGAGTGCCTCCGGGGGAAGCCCCCACCGGCAGGGGTGCCCACCGCCTTCCTGTCCAGCAGGCAGCCCCCTGCACTGGGAGTACTGTAGTTGAGCATCTTGTTACCCTGGAGGGAAGGGAGGGAAGAGAGAGCGTGGTTAGTGACAAAGGCCATCCACCAGGGCCAAGAAAGGGACCGCTAAGGGCAGCCCCTCCACAAGCAGAAATGCCCCTTGTGTCTCTAAGGAACCATCTCTAACTCTGTCCTGGCAAGCCCCTCCCACTCTTCCCCCTACGACCAGTCACCTAGCTTTACTTTGGCCCCCTACAGAAGAAACCACAAAACCCCCACCGGTATGAAATTGTTATACATGCACCCTACTCCCTGCACACCCCTGGACTGGGCCCCCATATCCTGTCCCCAAAAGTACCTTGTTCATCCACAAAATCTAACTTCTTTACCTCCCAAATAGATTCCTCAGCTCAAAATATCTCACACAGCTCAAGACTTCTCCAGATTCCCCTTCCGCCTAACAAAACCAGGTAAACCTCAGGAGATTATGAGTACCTCCTTTTTAATCAGTCCCTCCTTCATTAACAACACACACACACAACCTGGCCTAAGACTCTCCACTTCCTCCTTCAGAAGTGTTCCCTTCCTTTGGCAACAGGTTTCCAGACTGCCTTTGCTTTATCTTGCTGAGGGGTGGGGGAGAGGAAGGGGGCAGGAGAAATCCTAGGTCAGGGGTGGGGGTCAGGGCCAGGAGAAGGAAGGATGGGATTCCTAAAAACAAAATGCATTGCCCCATGCTTGGGGAAGGGGTGCCTTCTACAATGACCTCCCCACCACTCTCAGCCTACCCCACCCCCTCCACTGGGAAGATGCCTTTGCTGTTAGTCTTCTGGCTGCAAGGGCAGGCTTGGATAAGAGCGCCAGTGTTTAATCTTTAACGCAAAGCTGCAGGTGGGAAGGAAAAGGAAGGCACCAAATCCCCCCACCCGCCTCCTAGTCAATAGTGGATTTGTGGGGAGGGAAGCAGAGCCACCACAAACAGGTTTCTGTTCCAATGGGCCCCTGGTCACCTGCCCAATCTGTACCCAAGGTTTGGAAAGCCGGGGACCTGGGAGTTGGCTCCCAGCCCATGTGGGTGTCATTGTGCAAATTCTAAAGTTGGTCCCTTAGGATCAGCTGCAGGGGATCGGGAATCTGTAACAGCAACCACCCCACGGAGCGGATTACAGGAACCAAGTTGAGAGCCGGTTCCCAACAATAAGGTTCATTTAAAAAGTCCTGCGGGGGAGGGGGGCTGTGCAGAGGGCGAGAAAAAGAGAAATAGATCAAAGAGCGAGAAAGCCAGGGAGAGAAGGAAAAGTGCAGGAGAGCTCAGGGAGCCGCCAGGGCAACAGGAGTCTGGGAAGGCGCAAGGAGGGAAGGAAACTGAAATTCAAACTTTTTTTGATGTTGCTCTTCTGCTCCTCGGCCTCCTTGCACCCCAGCCCTGCAGCCCTGGGGCCCTGGAAGCTGGGCCAACTGGAGAAGCAAGCTGAGAAAAGAAAGCGACATGACCCGACGTGTTTAAAAGAAGGCAAAACACTTTAGCAATTAAAAGTAGCCTAGCAGCTCCCTGCTTTCAAACTGGGGAGAGGGGGCGAAAATAATTCAACATCCATTGGCTTTTGCTATGTACACCTAAACCGCACTCCTGGAACATTCGGTGTTTAAAACCTGTTTTTTTTCCACACCGGCTGGCAAGCTACACCACTTAAGGAGGCCCCATTAAATCCTTCCTCGCAGAGCCCCTTGAGCTCAGGCTGGCATTTTGTTGTCGAGTCCCCCCACCCCCTCGGAAAACAGGTAAGGGGGTCAACCCTAGTCCCATTTTCACCCCAATGTTTGCAGCACTGTAGGCTATCACAGAAGGAAGCCCCACTGCAAACCCGTTTTGCAACATCCTTTTGAATCACAACTCTTGGCCTTTTTCTCGCAGATTCCCAGCCCTTCCACATCAGAGGAGGAAATCTCCCAGCAAAGCGTCCTCCCGAGACTCAACTTCCCCAAGGGGCGCCCCTGCTGACCCCACAGGCTGGCGGTGTGGTTGGAGAGACTCGAACCCCTCCCGGCGGCGGCGAGACCCGGAGCGCGCACCGGGCAACCCTAGCAGATCAGCGAAACCGGGCTCAAGCAGCACATTAGGGACGACAGAACTACCGCAAAACTGCCCCAGTCCGCCAATGCCCCGCGTCCCCCGGGCAGCCCCGCCACTCAAACTTCGCCCCCCAAAACTCTGGTCTCCAAATTCCTATGCAGTCGCCGCGAGGACCTGTTGAAACTCAGGGTGGAGAGCGCCAAATTCCTTTAAACTGGGGGGGAAATGAGGCAGAAAAAAGACCCATATCGCCTCGCCTCCTCTCCTCCCTGCTTCCCAAGACCTGAACTTTTGGGGGTTCTTTCTTTAGGCAAAAAAGGAAAAAGGAAACTTTGAGAAGCAAACTCTCCGCCCCACTTTACCTTGCATAAAACTTCGCTCAAGTCGAAGATGGTGGCAGACACGAGGGTGGTGGTCATCCTGGGCGCTCGCACGGGGCAGGGACGGGGATCTGGTGTGTCGCGAAGGTCTCGGTGCGGGGAAGGCGCAGCCTCCGGCTCTCCGGTCTGGAGTCCCACACGCCTGCTCCCGGCGCCCCTCGCCTTTCTGACTCTCCTCGGCCGCAGCGCGCGAAGCCCAATTTATAAAGTTCAGATTTGGTGGGCCGGGGGAGGAGGAGCTTTAAACTTATTTAAATGAGGAAGAGGAGGGAAAAAAAGTTGATTGACACTGAAGTTGAATCAGCCATGCGGTCAAACTCGGAGGAAAAAAAAAGAAACTTTCAAAAGGAAGAAGGGGGAGGGGAAACGAGGAAAGAAGCCGAAGAAGAAGAAAAAAAACCAACTGGGAGCAGCGCACAACTTTTTTTTCTTAAAGAGGAAAAGTTTCGAGTCCGCGCGCTCGGCTACCCGGCGCTTGGGGCGCCTCTCTCTGGGGCCGAGCGGCGCGAGGGGGAGGGGCGCGCCCCCCCTTTGTCAGGCTGCGAGCGCGGCTCTGTGACATCATTCATTCCACCCTCTTCGGGGTTCTTGTTGTTGTGTTGTTGTTTTTTTGTCGGGCAGGAAGGCGGGCTCGACTTTCTCTTTTTGCAAGCGGGAGCAGAAGCCCGTCCTTAGCGCCCGGGCTGCGGTTTCCATCTTGAGCAGATCTCCCCTGAAACTTCTCCAAGTGCCCCCCACAACTTAACTCTTTTCCCGAGTTCTCGTCCTCGTTCGGCTGCCTTCCGCAACCGGGCAGGGCCAAGAGATCGGGAATTTGGGACGCACAAAGCATTCAGGTCTAGGGGTTTCGGGTTTTTGTTTTGTTTTTTTTTTTTTTTCAGCAGGACGTGGCGGACGTAGAGTGGTGGGGAAACTCCAGCGAGACTTTTTCTCCGGGGAGGACCCGGCCCGGCGGGGCGAGCGCAGCACGATTTCGCGCGCCGCACGCGCCTACACTCTCCTGCGCTTTGCAGCCGGACGGCTGGGGGGGCGCGAAAAAGACCACCGCCCGGGCCGATTGCTTGTTCGTTTAACAGGCCTGGGAGTGGGATTTATTTCACGCGTCCCACCTTAAAGTTTTTCATAAAGAAAACCCGAACCCTCATGAATGCCCTTTCCAGTCCGCCCCCCCACCAATTAAAAAAAAAATCATTAACGCACAACTTTCCACGCGCGCTCTGAACTAGGGGGCACACACACATACACACACACACACACCCCTAGACGCTTGAACAATGAAAAAAAAGTTACTTTGGCAAGAATGAAGGTAAAGAAATGGGGGAGGCGACACTTTTAACTTATTGTTGCTTCTCCCCCGCCCCCACGGGAACGGAACATATGGCTTGTCACGCTGCGCTGTTTGGGCGGGATGGGGGAGAAGGGTACGGGACCCTCGAAACCGAAAGCACCCCCCAACAGATTACTTCTTTTAAGAGTGTTATATATTTACTGTTAGGTTCGGATGCCTCGCCATCCACCCAAATAAAAAGTTGTTAACGTGTCGCCCACGGCCCCCCGGGTGCTGGAGCGAAGACCCAGGCGGAAATCGCGGGGCTGTTTCTTTCCTATTTCCCCGCGTGCCTGGCCGCCTCCTCGGCCCTCGCACGTTTCTTCCCAGCACTCGAGGCCGCCGGGTCTGTTATGAAACCCCGAGCGCTGAGTGGCTAAGAGCGGGTTCCATTGCGATGTAATTAGGTCACCCCATTATGAGCACGTTTCTTTGGAAAGGACAGGGCGGGCGGAGCAGAGCGCTCCAGTCGCGCTCTCACCACCACCACCCACCCACCCACACACACACGCATTTTTATTACATTTCTGATGTATTCGTCAACCTCCGAGCAGACCCAGGGAAAACTTCCAAATCACAACGAAAGGAACCGGTTGTTTTTCATCTTTGCGAAACACACAACTTTTGCTGCAGCCACGAATCTACGTGATCTCAGCCTGGTCTGCTTTTATTTGGCCCCTCAGACTTAAAATGATGGCCCCCGTTTTTAACCCGGCGGCTGCCCCTTGCCTTTCCTTCTGCTGCCGTCCAGCCTCCTGTTGCTTCCCTCCCCCCTGCTCCCATTTTTCAGCTTTTCTTGAAATCTGGCAAGCGCCAGAAAGGGAAATAACTTCCATCCACCTTAATTTAAATCATACAAGTGTAGGTTTCTTTCTTAAAGGGGTGTCTGCTCGCTCCTTTCCCCAGCTCCAAGAGGGGGGGGGGGGCTCGTGCAGTTTCTTGGTGATGAGGTAATGAGTTCCAGATTTCAGGACAGAGCAGGCTGCGCGTTAAAACCACAAGGTTAGTCTGCGTCCTGATGTGAAGCTATTTCTTTTTCTCTCCCTCCCCCTCCACCACCAAAAAAGGCCCATTGGTCTTTAACTCTGGAGGGTTCGCGAAGCTCTGCTGGGGAGACGGAGGTGGGGTGGAGAAGCGAGGGAGAAGGGGCCCCCGAGCGGGTGGGGCCGCCTTCTCGGCCCCAGGCCCGGCCCGCACCCGCTGTCCCCCCGCGGCTGCAGGACCGGCCAGAAGTACCGTCACGCGGCCCCGGCGCCGCAGGCTAGCTAAAAAGGTTTTTTTTCTTTTTTTCTTTTTCTTCCCCCCCCCCCCCCAAAGAGAATGCCGATTCCTCGAATTTCCTCCGCTTTTCCAACTCCCGGCCGCCGCTCCCCTCCCCCGCTCCCGGGGCGCGGGCTCCGCGGGGCGGCGGCCTGGCCCGCTCGCTCCGGAGTTGTTTACCGGCCCCGCCGACCCACCGAGTTTGTTCCAGCTCTGAGAGCCTGTCTCTATAATTAAACTCTTTTTTAATTGTCGGGTTGAAACGTCATTTCAGGGACTTTCCAAGGGTGAGGGAGCCGGGCGGAGGGAGCGAGCCTCCTTAACCCTTCGCTGACCCGGCGGGCCGGGGAGCCGCGTCCAGCCGGGCCGAGGAGGGCTGGGAGTCCGGGGGCCCGAGCCGGCGCGCCTCGGCCGGACGTCTCTGCAGGTGCCCGAAGGCGGCGGGGATGGCCTCGAGCCCCGACCGCGGCAGGAAGCCGGGCAAGAGCCGTGCGCCGCCCTCCCCGCCTCCTTCGCCAAGCGGTCGGCGCTCGGGTTCCTAACTCGCGCCGGGTCGGGAGAAGCCGCCCCTTCACCTGCGCTGCCGCTTCCGACCGGGCGGCGATCGGCCGGGTCCCCCGTCCAAGGCCCGACTTCGGCCCTCGCTGCTCCCTTGGAGCCGAAACCCTCTCGAGGAGGGGCTAACCAGGTATTTTTGGCTTGGGGGTGTTAGGTTTTGTTCAAGGAGGAAAGTGAAAGTCCTCGGAATTAAGGAAGCGCGACGGACATATTCATGAGCCAATCTGGACCGTGGGCGCACCTCGCAGCAGGTGAGAGAGTGGGGCGCCGGGCCCCTAGTCGGCGCGGCCTTGATCACCGTCACCAGCACCCTCCAAGGCACCCCTCCCTGGGATCCCCTCCTGGCCCTGGTTGCAACACAGGACCCGCCATCCCAGAGCCCTTTGGCTTCAGGTCATTTGCATAAACCCCCAAATTCTTCGGATTGGGTCTCGCCCTGCCCCCCACCCCCCAAATTCTTCTACCTGAGACCCTGGACAGCTGCAAGGTGTCTGGATTAGAGAGAGAGGGAGGTAGGGCCAAGTGCGGTCTGAGAGTTACCTGGCTTAGAGTTTACCTGCAGTGCCCGTGGAATGCATATTCCTCTGCTTGGACCCGGGCCCAGTGAATCAGATGCTTTGAGGTGGGGTCAGGAATCTGCATTTTTAGTAATTTCCTGCTAGTGACTCAGATGTGAGGGGTTTGGGAATCAGTGGTCCAAGACTTTGAAGTTGGGCCATCTGGATCCAAATCTTGGCTCTGCCATTTTCAAGACCCTGACCAAAGCCTCTGTTTTCTCATCTCTAGAATATGGATAATAATACTGCCTAAAACTGGCGGATAAAGTGCTTAGTTTCAAGCCCAGCAGAAACCTTTTATCTGCCTAGCCATTGTATGTAAACTAAACCATTCTTGGGGGCCTTATTACACCACAAAGCACCTTTGGGGGAGTATTCACTTTGCAAAAGGATTCTTCGGTATAAACATCCATGAAATGGTCAGCTGACCACTGCTTCACCTCCTCCTTTCTTGCCTGGGCCTGCCTAGGGACACAAGAAAGCTGATGAGTTTTGAGCCACCTAAACTTTGATGGGAAGCCCAATTCTGCGAGTCACCAGTTGCACAACCTCGAGCAGGTCCCTTAGCCTCTGGGATGGTGGGGAAGGTTAAACTCTTCCAGCCAGTGCTTAGCTCAGACAGCCCCTTGCCCTGCAGTCACTCCAAACTGCTCGGAGTTGCTGGTGGTTGCTGCACACCCCTCCCTGGGGCTTTGCTCAAGAGGTTCCTCTGCTGGGATTTCAGGCAGCTCCCTGAGCAGGCAAACCGCCTCTCTCCCCGCCCTGCCACTGCGGCCTACAGCGCTCCAGCCTTCGGCTGCATTTTCTGGGGATTATCTGTTTATTCCCACTGGACTAGAAACTCCTTGAGGATGAGGGCAGCTCTATTACCTGGGCCTCAGGAGTAGGTCCTGAGTAGGTACACGATACATGATACATTTTTTCAGTCACTACTGACCCTTGCCATTGAAACCACTCGGACATGTTGGTTACCCTACATTTGGCATTGGGAGTAGAAGGATCACAGAGGTTCCAGCAGTGGCAGAAAGGGAGGGCTTGGGCTCTGCCACGAGGGGAGATGGCAGTCTTAGCCCTGGGAGGCTCAGAAGGCCAGAGCTGGTCATTCAGGGAGGCTGGGCCTCCGCAGCTTGCCCAGGGCATGTTCTGTGCAGCTGTTAAGGGGTGACAGAGTCTAATGGAATGAGCACTGGTCTAGGAGTCAGGACTCTGGATTCTAGAGCTCCTTTGCTTCTAGTGCAGTAGGTCATTCTCTACTCTGGGCTTCCCTGTTCTGCATTGTAGATGGAGAGCGTTGGGCTGGACAGGTGGTGCTCTACCATCACCCTGAGCAGAATTATCTGGGGAGCTTTTAAAACTGTACAGATGCCCTGTCCCACCCCATCCCACCCCACCTCCAAAAATTCCACTTCAGTTGGTCTGGGGTGAGGCCCAGCATCTGTATCTTCAAAGGTCCCCAGATGATTCTATTATGAAGCCAGAAACACCGGATTTGTTTATTTTAGAGCAGTAGTTCTCAACCAGGCATGATTTCACCCCCCAGTAAACATTTGGCAGTGTCTAGATACACTTTTGGTTGTCACTGTTGGGGGAAGGAAGGTCAATGCTATTGGCATCTAGAAAGTAGAGTTCAGATAGCCTGCTAAACAACCACACAGCAGCCCCCACAACAAAATGTATCTGGCCCAAAATGTGAATAGTACCCAAACTGGGAAACCCAGTTGTAGAGGTTCTTTCCAACTCCAAGATTCCTGTGTACTTACTTAGGCTCTATCCCCACTCTCCCTCAAACCCCTCTCCTTAGGGCAGCCCAGTGATCTTTTTCAAAACCTAGATCTGATCTATTGTTACACTTGCCTAAAACCCTTGGCTGCCCATCCTTTTAGAATAAAACCATAGCCTCAGTCCAGCAGAATCTGACTCTCTTACTGTTCCAGCCCGGGCTTTCATACCCCTCCCACCCCATCACCACCTCTCCCACCCCCCAGGGCATTCCCTGTGCTCTAGTCAGTTTCAGATGAAAATGAACAATACTTCCTTCTGCCCCAGGGCCTTGGCACTTGCTATTTCTTCTATCTGAATTGACCTTCCTTTGGCCCAAGTAAGTTGTAAATCATTCTTTAGAATCCAGCTCCAGCATCACTTCCTCAACCATTCTTGGAGTCCCCCTCCCCTCAACAAGGCAAGGTATCTATTTTCTCTCTTATGTCCTCATGGCATGTTCATTTCCTTCAGAGTAGTTGTTTCAGTTTATGAGTATATATTCGTTCCTGTAACCTTTTTTTTACTTTTTAATTTAATACAGAAAAATTGAGGTGTACAGACTTTTAACATCAATAGATTGATGTAACCACCACCATGATCAGGAAACCGAACAGCTCATTACTCCCAAAATATCTCTCATGCTACCCCCTTGTAGTCATGCCCTTCCCCATCCTTTAGTCTGCTACCACTGATCTGTTCTCTATACTGTCATTTCCTCTTTCCCAGAATGCCATATAAGTAGAATCGCATAGTATGTATGATTTCACACAACATAATGCCTTCCAGATTTATCCGTGTTGCCCCATGTATCAGTAGTTCATTCCATTTCATTGAAGACTACTGTTTCACTATATGGGTACACCATTGTTTATCCATTCATCTGTTGAAGGACATTGGATTATTTTCAGTTTGGGGCCATTATGAATAGAGCTGCAGTAAACATTTGTGTACAGATTTTTGTGTGAACACCGTGCCTGTTTCTCTAGGGTAAGTAAGTAGGAGTGGGACTGCTGGGCCAAATGGTAAGTGTATGTGGAAGTTTATAAGCAATTGCCAAACTGTTTCCCAGAGTGCATCCCACATCATGCATCTCCAACAGCAATATGTGAGAGTTTCTGATTGCTCTACATCACTTAACCTCACCAACACTTAAAATTGTCAGTATTTTTTATTTTAGTCATTCCAATAGGTTGCATAGTGGTATTAATTTGCCTTTCATTCATGACTAATGATGTTAAACATCTTTCATGTGCTTATTTGCCATCCGTATGTCCTCTTTGGTAAAGTATCTGTTCAAGTCTTTTGCCCGTTTTTTAACTGGGTCATTTGTTTTCTTACTGTTGAGTTTTGAGAGTTCTTTATATAATCTGGCTCCAGTTGCTTTGTGGGATATGTAATTTGCAAATATTTTCTTCAGTCTGCACCTTATCTTTTCATTCTCTGAAAGAAAATATCTTTCAGAGAGCAGAAGTTTTTCATTTTGATGTTTAGTTTTTCAGTTTTATCTTTTGTGGATGATGCTTTTAGTGGCCCATCCAAGACTCTTTGCCTGACCCTATGTCATTAAGATTCCATCTTCTTCTAAAGTTCAATAGTTTTATGTTTTACACTTAGATCTATGATCTATTTGGAGTTAGTTTTTATATACGATGGGAAATTTAGATTGAGGTTTGCTTTTTTGCCTATGTGTGTCCAATCCCAGCACTGTTTATTAAAAGACTATCATTTCTCCATTGAATTGTTCGTGCCTGTCCAAAAATCAGTTTGCCATAGTTATATGGGTCTCTTGATTCTGTTCCTTTGATCTGTGTGTTCACTCCTTTGCCAATGTTACACTGTCTTGATTATTGTAGCTTTATGTTAAGTCCTAAAATCAGGTGGTGTAATTCCTCCAACTTTATTCTTATTTTTCAAAACTTTTACCTATTCTAGTTACTTTGCCTTTTCATATAAATTTCAGAATCAGGGGCACCTGGGTGGCTCAGTCGGTTAAGTGTCTGCCTTCAGCTCAGGTCATGATCCCAGGATTCCAGGATCGAGCCCCGCATCGGGCTCCTCACTCAGCAGGGAGTCTGCTTCTCTCTCTCCCTCTGCCTGCCACTCTGCCTACTTGTGTTCTCTCTCTCTCTGTCAAATAAATAAATAAAATCTTTTAAAAAAAATCAGAATCAGCTTGTATCTACAAAAAAATATCATACTGGGAATTTTATTAGAATTGCATTACATCTACAGATCAATTCAGGAAAAATGACATCTTTGCTGTATAGAGTCTTCTAATCCACATAGATGGTATGTCTATTTATTGAGGTCTTTGATTCCTTTAATTGGTGTTCTGTAGTTTTTAGCATATAAATCCTATACATGTTTTGTTAGATTTATACTTACTATTTCCCCATTTGGAGGAACTATTATAATATTTCTCTTAATTTCAGTTTCTAATTTTTCATTACTAGCTTATAGGAATACAGTTTTGTGTGTACTGGCCTTGTATCCTTTGATCTTACAAAAGTCACTTCAGTTGTAAGCTTTTTTTTTTTTTAATATTTTTATTTATTTATTTGAGAGAGAGAATGAGAGAGAGAGAGAGAGCATGAGAGGGGGGAGGGTCAGAGGGAGAAGCAGACTCCCTGCCGAGCAGGGAGCCGGATGTGGGACTCGATCCCAGGACTCCAGGATCATGACCTGAGCCGAAGGCAGTTGCTTAACCAACTGAGCCACCCAGGCGTCCCCAGTTGTAAGCTTTTTTTTGTAGATTCCTTCGGTTTTGTTTTTTGTGTGTGTGTTTTTGTTGTTGGTTTGGGTTTTTTGTGTTTTTTTTTTGAGAGACAAAGAGACCAAGAGCATGCACGTGAGCAGGGGCTGGGGCAGAGGGGAGGGAGAGAGAGCATCTCAAGCAGGCTCCACACCCAGCACAGAGCTCGATCTCATGATTGATCGGAAATCAAGAGTCGGACACCCAACCGACTGAGTCACCCAGGCACCCCTGTGTGTTTGTTTGTTTATAACATAGACAATTATGTTATCCACAAAAGGGAACAGCTTAATTTCTTCCTTTCCAATCTCACGCATTCCATTTCTTCTTCTTGCCGTATTGTCCCGTCTAGGACTTACGGTATACAATATTGGATAGGCATAGTGAGAGTGGACACCCTCACCTGATCCCAATCTTAGGGGAAAGCATTCAGTCTTTTCCTATTAAGGACAACATTAGTAGCAAGGGTTTTTTTTATAGTCATTTACCTTTTTGACATCCTCCTTCCCACGAGGACGTATGCTCTGTCTGTTCTCAACTCAACCCGCGGTGCCTGGAACAGAACCTAGCACACAGTAGGCTCTCAGTCAGTGGTTCTCTCCGTTAGTGACTTAGCCAGCCGTAACCGCTGCCCTCATGACGGACAGCGGAGGGGCCTGCCTGAACATTCAGACACTGTGAAGAATAATCTTACAATAAATACCCGAGTGGATCCAACGAGGCATTAGCCCCATCGCGTTGACTACTTGAAGCTGGAGCCCATCTGCAGATCAGCTTTCTAGCAAGCCATGCTGTGTGGAAGGCGTAGTCGTCAATGAGGAGTAGGTGACTGCAGGACCATGATTATCTCAGATTGAGAGCATTCCATTCCCAAAGAGAATTTAAACAAAAAGCTCTCGGTTCTGAGAAACAGGGGCTTTCAGGGGAAAGAGTCACACTGCTCTGAAATCTTAGGCCCTCAGACGGGTGGGGTTGTTTCGCTAAATTTATTTCAGCCGCTTATAGAAACACAAGGAGGGGGAGGAGGTGGCTGCTTGCACACCAGCCCTGGCTCTGGAGTATTAATATCTGCCGGGTCAGGCTTTTATTTGGGTTTTGTTTCACCTTTGGAGGGCGGGGAAGCAGGCAGGCCGGCAGCAAGCAGGAATATCTCGCAGCTGCCCAGCTTCCTCCCTGTGCCTTCCCCAGCAGGCCAAACCCAGCCCCCTCCCACCGCACCTTAGGGGGGCTCTCTACCCATGGAACACCAAGCTGTCTCATCCAGGCACCTGTGACCTCTGCTCTTCTCCCATTCCCAGAAGGGGTCTGAGCCCTCCAAGAGAGTGAGAGATTGAACCTGGTTGTTTGCTTTCTGGCACGAAGTGTGGGTACCTTTGTCCCTGGCCCCATCAGCACACCCTGCCCAATCCCACACACCCCACACCATCCTCAGTGGCTCTACTGTTTGAATTTGCAGAGTTCTTGGATATGAAACCCAGGCCTTTTTAATCCTGTCTTCCTTCTCCTCAGCCTCCCCCAAACACCGAACACACATTTTCCTCTGCCTGATACCTGAACGGTCTCTCGTGTCACACACACACCCCATACGTAGAAAAGGGGGTTAAATGAAACCACTATGTTGCTTCCTAAAAGCCTGTTCTTGTGCTGAATTTGGAATGCTTTATGGAACACAGGTTAATCACCTCCCACAGATGTGGGAGAAACTGAGGCACAGGAAGGGGAGGTGAGCTCTGTGTCCACCGACTGGCTCTCAGAGGTACCCACTGAACCCGAAAGGACCAGAGAAAGATGGGGCCCTGGGTCGCGGAACTTGCTGTTACGCAGCTCACTCTCTGAGGACAGAAAGAGGAGACACACACAAGGAAGCTAAAAAATCTGCTGGGTTTATGACTCAAATAATTACATGAGAATATGGAGAAGTACCGCACACAGTCTCGTTCCTTGGCAAACTCCTGCTTCCCGGGTCACCAGGGAGGATGTGGAAAGGAGCATGGTCCTCTCCACTCCCCAGCCCCCAGGTAGAAGGACTGAACGGGGACTGGTGGGAGGGAGAGTGGCCTGGGGCAGGAGGCCCGGAGAGGCCTGACATGAAGATTCTCCAGGGGATTCTTGCTCCTAACTGGGGTGGTTGCTTCAGAGAGAATAAAGGCCGCAGACATACTGTGCTCACAAGTAAACTAAGTTTCTCTTTTGTCCTAGCCCCAGCCAGTTTGCTTTGGAATTATCCTCCAGCCCTCTCCCCCAGTGCCCAGCCCAGAAAGGGACCAACCCCACCCTGGGGAGCTGTTCCTTTGAGAAGCAGGACCCACCTCCCCAGCCAGAGGCGGCATCAGACAACTCTTGGAGGCTCATCACATAGGCAGCCAGAGAGAGGATGGATTTCTGCCACAGCCCTGTGACTTCTTCCGAGCTGAATTTCTCCCGCCTACTGCACCCTCCGCCCTGCGGGGGCTACGGGCCCCCCAAACCAGGGCCTGCCCTCGTCTGACCAAAGGCAACCAGATCTGCTGCAGCTGTTCAGGGAGAGAACAAGCTCTCCCAGAGACCGTGGAAGTGGCTAGAGAAAGATTCCTGCCAGCCTGGGGGTGTAAATATTTATACAACGTGGTATGTGGGAAGAGGGAAGGCGGAGGGAGGTGGCAGGAACGAGGTGCACTGAGGCCGCAGGGTGTAAGAAGCCTGCTGTTCGGGCTCAGGTGGGAAGGGTGAGAGGCCGCTAGGATCCTACCGCCCCCCCCCAGATTCCTACATCAAAGAGGCCTGTCTTGGGCGCCTGGGTGGCTCAGTTGGTTAAGCTACTGCCTTCGGCTCAGGTCATGATCCTGGAGTCCCAGGATCGAGTCCCGCATCGGGCTCCCTGCTCGGCAGGGAGTCTGCTTCTCCCTCTGACCCTCCCCCCTCTCATGTGCTCTCTCTCATTCTCTCTCTCTCAAATAAATAAATAAAATCTTTAAAAAAAAAAGAGGCCTGTCTTTGCCCCCAGCCTTCCTGCCAGAGTTGAGAGGAGAACTTAGAAGAAAGTTCACCATCGTTCCTCTAAGTCCCCTAAATGTTCCTCTGGACTAGGATAGGCCTCTCTGCAGGGAAGGAGGCTCTGCCTTCAACCAGAGACATGGCAGGTCCTCAGGGCCCACGAGTGAGGACTTTTGGACTCCTGGGGCTTCTGGTTCTAGAGTCTGAAAGGATGCTGGACCCCAAGAGTTAGACTCTAGGGCTGAAGGCTTAGAAAACAGAAGCAAAATATAAAATGAGCAAAGATCTTTCTCCAGCTTCTATATAATCAACGCTATTTTTCTAAAGTAGCAGGAACGTTGGACATTGATGAAGATGATGAGGAACGGAGGGGACCTGGCAGGTGAGCAAGGCGTGGCGAAGGCGAGGGAGCCCTTGGTGGCACTTGCAGGGCAGCACGCAGCCACCATCACCACGGGGCCCAGGAGAAGACCGAGCGGCCTGATGGACACCCAGCTGGTGCTCTTGGGCCCCGGCAGCCCGGGATGCAGCGCAGCCCCGGGTGCGCATCGACCCAGCTGCTCCTCATCTAGGCCCACCCAGAGCTCAGCCAGGCCCCAGTGGCACCGACGTCCCAGGGTGGGAGGCAGGCATGGGTCGGGGGGTGGGGAGGGTGGGGGACGGCCAGATGGACTCCAGTCGATCTGCCTCAGACAGCTGGGGAGCAGAGCCAGGACGCGCCTCTCCCCCCGCCCCCGTCACTTCACACAGGAGGGGCACGGCTGCGACTTCTAGGGTTTCTCTGCCACTGCACCCTTCAAGAAGTGCCACCTGCTTCTATCAGTATGGGGCTGACCCTCAGGGCCTCCCACAGGTGGGCTCTGTGTTGCTCCTCTCCTCAGTGGCCAGCCGCCTTTAAGACACCTTGAAATGATCAGCCCCCACTTGCATTCTCTTTGTGCCCTAAAAACACCCGCTGGCTGGGCTGGGGGTGTTGGGAGGGAAGGGCCTTCTGCCGGGAAACCGCCTTGGGTCTTCAGCCAGAGAGCGACTCTCAGAGGACACCCAGACTCCCCCAGGAGGCAGCCCCCTAGGCTGCAAGTCGTCCCACCCACAGCACAGAGCTTTGCGAGGAATACATTCCCAGGGCATGCACCTCCCCTGAGCGCCAGCCTTTAGGGTGGAAGCCGGTGAATCCCCCACCTGTCCACTCAGAGAGGGACGGATTCCACCGCCTCGCTGAGCAGTGGGGCCCAGGCCCACACACCGTGGAGGAAACACCATCTGCCCCGGCCCTCAGCCCCAGCCTGGCAGCCGATGTGAACCCTTGAGGTGGGGGGAGAGGAGCCCTCTGGAAGAGGAGCCCTCCCAGCTCCCCTCCCCAAGGAGAGGGCTCCTCTTCCAGAGACACCACTGCGGGAGAATCTTCAGATGCTCAGGTCCTCTTCTGCCACCGTGGCTCTGCCTGCCGGCTGTGGCCTCCTTCTTGCCAGCTCTGCTGAAACAGATGAGCAAGACTAAAAGCCTGTGTGGCCCAAGGAAAGCTTGAGGGGAGGGAACTGACGCTGAAGGAAAAGGAGAGGAAGAACTACAAGAAACAGGAGAGGAGGGGAATTCAGGAAACGGACAAAATAAACCATCCGGGAATCCAGATGTAAAACAAGGAAGGCCAAAAGAAAAGAAAAATTATGCTAAGAAGGCAGAGTCGGGTGGGGAAGGGAATTGAGAATCAAAAAGAAGAGAAGGGCAGTTATAAATATTCTGGAAAGAAGAATGTGAACGCAAACAATACCAGAAAAAAAAAGAGAGAGAGAGACCCAGGAGGGAAAGAGAAGCAGCAATGAGTTTAAAACTGCTTTGACCCTCAACCAACCACATTCAGTAATGTTCTGAGTCTTAGGGCATTTTGTGGATTTCAGACTCTTCTAAAGCTGAGCAGAGGACAGTCCTAGAAAAACAAGCTTTCCTGCATGCCCTTGTTTTTCCTACAGTTCCCCAGCTCAGCACCACCGTTGGTCTTTTTCAGAGGGAGAGCTCATCTTGCCCGGGGCAAGGCCAAAAACCATTCCAGTTCGCCCCAGAGTCTGGTGGCTTCCATCATGGTGCCCTCTGGAGGGCCCACTGGGAGATTTGAGCAGGAGCAGCTCTGTGACGGAGAAGCATTGCGGAGCGATGCAGCTGTACCATCCACTTTTCATCTTCTAGGGTGGGCTTTTCCCAGCCACCTTGCTGGGGACCAGGGCTAACCCAGCCCTCGGACACAGCAGGGGTGCCTGGAAGACGGCATACCCAACTCTGTGCGGAGCCAGAGGGGTCCCAGCAAATGCAACTTTTGGAAACAACTTAGATGATTTAAATTTGTTTCCAGGCATTCCCAACTGGGACCTAAAGATAGCTACAGTTTTCTCATTGCTAGGTGGCAAACAGCTTAGTTTCTTGAAGTTCACCTTCAAATGCCTCCTATCCATAAACCCCATGAACACTTGCAGAAGACCCTGGTTCCTCTCCCTTTGTCAGCTGGGCCTTTCAGCCTTCTGTTGCCCCTCTTTTCCTCTGTGAATCAGCCAGTGTCTCTTGTCTGTGTCTGCCCAGGTCGTTCATTTCCCTTACTTAATCACACCCACTTCTGCCCACTGGTCCGTTTCTCTAGGGCAGCAGCTGAACCAGACCAAGGCAAAATCAAGAAGCAAAGGAAGTAAAAATGTGAGTTTGGTTTAGCGCCCCGCATTGGCACGTCCAGGCTGTCTGCAGCGGGTGAGGAGGCCTGCTGGTGCACAGGGGTCTGAGCCTCCCCAGGCCACCTAAAACTGCTCCCCCAAAGTTCAGCCAAGGGGAAGCCACACAAGCCGGGCTCTGATCGACTGGGACAAAGGAAACAGTGCACACACCGGCCCTTGTCCCCAAGAATTCTTAAGTACTTGACCCCGGTTCTCTACGTTCCAAAAGTCACATTTTTCTTCTATCAAAAACGGAGAGATGTGGCCAAATGTACAGCAGGGATCACGTCTAGGTTGTAGCCTTGGATACTCAACCCGGTTTCTTCTCCTCCCTCCTCACCTTCCAACCTGCCACAGTCGTATAATCTATGACTCAAACTATTATTTAACCGTGAAAAAAGACAAACCAGGAAATTAGAGGCTGAATGACCTAAAATTTATTCCATTCAACTGAGCTAATCTCCTAATAAGGGTGTGTATAATAATAAGTCATGCTATAACTGTTCTGGAAGATGTGAACATCACAGGGAAAAGTGCACGGTGATTGAAGATCCCAACCTGTTGAGATTTGTCCTCAAAAGCCTAAGTGCCTGGTCCCGGGCCACGCTGCCAAGCAGTTTGCCAAACGAGTCTTAACATTTGGGAACCAATGGAGAGTAGCCCATGTTCAAGGCTGACCGCAGTCAAATCCCGGCACTGGCACTGCCTAGGCAAGCAGGGGACTTACCTGCCTCCTCTAGTCTCCGCTCTGAAATGGCCGTGACGGCAACCCCCATCTCCTGGGGCTGTGGCCGCAAGGACAGTGAGCAAGGCGCTTGGCACATGTGAGCAGCCCTCCCTCCCTAAAAGCACCCCCAGTCAACTGTTGCTGTGTGTTCAGCAGCGAATTGGCAAGACCAAGAGGGAAGCTGGAGGCCCCACAAAGTGGGGTTCCACGGAGTCACTGGAACACAGTCAAGTATCCCGAGCAAGAGAGAGGAGAGGGTCCCAGAGGAGGCCCAGGCAGCTGGCGGGTGGAGCACTGCGCGGAGAGCCAAGGACAGCCACTCACAGCGTGGGTGGGAGGACGCAGGGGGCTGCGCTCCAGTCCTCCCGCATTAGCTCAACTCGGCTGCATCCCCACCCTTGCATGTGTTCATCCTTCCGTGAACCCCAGCACGTAGTTACCTAGCACCCCCCATGTGCCCAGCACAGGCCAGGCCAAGGGCGGTGGGGGGAGCAAGCTTACGCAGGGATCACGAGCCTCAGAGACTTTAATAACCGGGCATTTCTGTCCAAATTCAGAGATCTGTCCTTTTAGGAGCTAGACTGTAAGGATATGACCAAATGCTGAGAAATTCTTATTTCAGGGCCAATTTTCCTTCTTAAAGTAGAAAGGCAAAGAGTTCAAAAATGTTCTGGAAATGTGAACACTCACAGAATCTCGTTAACATTTAAGGGGTATTGTTAGTTTTTAGGTGACATAAAGACCGTGTGGCTAAGTTTTTTTTAGAGATACATACGGAAATACTGGCAGATGAAATGTTATGCCCTGATATATAGGATTTACTTCAGTATTATATGGGAGGTGGGGAGGTGTCAGGGGACAAGCTTGGCCAGGAGTTGGTGATATTGGTGATGGGTACATGGCGATTCATCACACGCCTCTGTCTCCTCCTGTATATGTTTGAAATTTTCCACAATAAAAGGTCTTAAGTTCATAAAAAATGAAACGTTTTTAACTCAGGGATTCTTGTCTTATTGGTTCTTGCAACATGATATTTACTTCCTGAGGACATGTGCTCTTGGACAGGAGAGGAGGCTGTGGGACACCTGCCAGGAGTGGGGAGGGCTGGAGAAGAGTCAGGAAGACCACCACCCAGGGGGTAGGAAAGTGCCCCAAGCCCTCCTCCCCCCACACACATGAGAACCAAGAGTGCTGGCCCGTCCCTCAGGGTCTCCCAGCCTGGGAAGAAGCCGTCAAAGAGACTGGTGTTCATTTGGTACTGCTTTTAAACTCAGTGAAAATTATCCTTTGGTTGGTGTCAATGTATTTTAAAGCACGATGAATTATTTTTTCCAGCATAGAGCGATTATAGCAGATTGGGCAACCTCTCTAACCTCAAATGGAAAATGGGGAGAACCATACGTGCCCCATTTCCTAGGGTGTGAGGTTAAACGAGATTAATGTACATGAAGCGTCTTAGCACTAGTCAGCGCTGATAAAGGATGGGTCTGAGTTGAGGGGTTGTTGGCAAATGTCAGCCTTTAGCTTCTCGGGACCATACTGGAGGCACCCCCATCTTAGGTGTTCTGTTTGAACGGCCGTGGCCTCACTTAAACATCGCAATTAGATCAAAGTCAAGATACACATAGTCTGAGACCTCTTTGGGCTGGGAATCCTACTGGGTGTCACAGAAGCCACTGCTGTCCTCTCCCTCTCAAGAAGGGTCACCCTGCTCTGGGAAGAACGGACCACTTGGGTTGGAGCCCCCCACTTTCTCTCTAGTTGAAGAATGAGTTGAAAAATGAGGAATAGGGCACTCTCCCCTCGGGGCCGTGGCTTTGAATGGCAAACTGCATCGTAAGAAGGAAGACGATCAGCAGATCATCTCATTCCCAAAGACAGGGGCAAGGAGTTCAGGGTACACAGATGGACAGCAGGCCCTGTGCTCAGCAGCGCACCCCTACAGGGAGCTTCTCCAGCCTACCCGGGCTGTTACAGGCAGGCGGTCATGAAGGCCTCCAGACCCCAGGGGGCAGCAGAACACACCCTCCCAGGTCAGAGGGATGAGGTGCCAAATGGCTGGGCAAGGTGAGTGGACCACCACCAACCCTTCCAAGAACAAATCTAAGCAGCCATGGCGTCCAGAGGCCAGGATCCCAGGAGAGGCAGGTACCCACAGGGCCAGTTCATGAGTCTTTGCCACTTGTCCCCAGGCAACTGGTAAGTGGCTTCTAGAGACAAGCGCCAGCCAGGAGAAGGCGTTCGTGACTTTAGGTGAGGGCTACAGGACCAGAAGGGACAAGGGGACAGAGCAGAAGGTAGTCCTGTGGCTCAGGAAGCAGCCACCCCAAGTCTTTAGATTCTTGCTCTATGGCCTCTTGCCAAGTGATGAAAGTGTTTGTCCCATCCCAACCTGCTCCACGCCCTAGCCTCTCTCCTTCAGACCACTGTCCACCCCGCCGGCTGCATGTCCTTTGCACTTCTTCCCTAGGAAGAAACAGAATGGAGGGAGGCCTCCCTACACAAAATTTGAACCCTCTCGAAAGGTCCCTGGGCTTTGGGAACTTTGAGATGCATTCGCGGGATTCTTCTAAACTCTCTGCAAGCACCCTGGCTCCGGAGAAGAGAACAATCTCTGTTGGGAGACCTCGGGGGCGAGGGCTGAGAGCTTCGGAGCCACAGTGCCCGAGTTCGAGTCCCGGCTCTGCTAGTTACCAGCCCTGTAACAATGGACAGGATGCTTAGCCTTCCGGGCCTCAGTCTATAACAAGTGGGCCTACAGGGCAGAGCTGGGGCTTACAACGATGGCTAGACAGAAACCGCCCTCAGTAAATATTAGCAAGGGTTCCTCCTCAGCCCGGTGGGGATGCACTACTAACAGCCCCACGTTTCCTGGAAGAAATAGCTGTGCTACAAGGTGGGAAGGTATTTGAAGGAAGCCTAAAGTCTTCATAGAAAGCAGCTCGGGGACATGCACAGAGTACTGTTCTCAACGCAAACCAGAAGACCCACGTATCCGTGCTTCCTTCTATCAGAATGCACCTCCTGAGACCACCAGGCTCTGGAGGCTGCAAAGAGCAGAGGCCCTGAGGCTGGAGGAGAAATGATACCTAGTGGTGCCCTGGAAGGGTGGAGAAGGAAAGGAAAACTGCCCGGGTGCAGCTGCAGACAAGCAGAAAACATCACTCAACTCTAAGCGGGGCTTGTTAAACTGATCAGCCAGAGCCCGAGAGGCAGGCTGGCTGCCCCGTGGGGGACAGGCCCACGTGGGCAGGCCTGGGGAGAGCCGGCCTTGCAGAGGCCAGGCCTGCACCAGAGGGTTGGGCTTTCCCTGGGATGGGAAGGAGAGAGTTAAACTGACTCTGGGCTTCAGGAGGGCGGCTCTGCAGCTATAAACAGTGAGCCAAGGGAGGGAGGGAGCTGACACAGGATGTGGCCAGGGCGCGAGCTGTCTGATTATTAACTTCACTTTTATTTGGAGGGGGATTCGATTCTCTGTTTTACTTCCCATCAAGGAAGTGAAAGCCCAGGTCTCGGAGGGGCCTGGTTTCAAATTGTTTTGTCACAGCTCATTCATTTTTCCTCTTAAATAAATAAACAAAACCACCTCTTTGTTTTCCCCTTAATGAGCGTTCAGCAAATCATCTGTGGGTGAGGCATGAAAGGGGTTTTCTGGAGTCCTTCATGAAGCACTTTGGCTTATTCTTTTAAAAGGAAAAGGGATTCTTCCTTTAGCTTCAGCCTCCTCCAAGGCTCCAGGCACTTTCTTTTCTGCTTCCTCTGGCGATCTCAGCCTGAAATCATGACCTCAAGCCCAGCACAGACCTTCCTTGGCTGGCCCGTGGGGCCTGACCTGAAGACTGGCATCCCTTGTCACAGGCTCCCACCCCAAGGCCACACAGAGGGAGCAACATCCCAGGACTCAGTGGTTAGTCTCCTTGGTCAAGCTCGGACTGGTGGTGTTTGTTCTCCTATGGCACCCTGACATTTCCACTAAAAATAACTTAAAGCAATTAAAAACACAAAAGGATTCCATTACAGGGCCTAAGAAAACAGCATTATATGTTGTTCCTTCGCCCAAGGTTCAAAATATTTGGGAACTTTGTTTCCAACACCAAAACCCATTCGACAATCTCATGATTCTCTTGCAACAACCCTTTCCTGAATGACCAACATGTGTGAGGCACCACGAGGGACACAAAGACCACTATCTGACGGTCCCTCCCCTCACAGCGCCCACAAGTCAGTGGAGGAAGACGCAGGGAGGAAAACAGGAGAGTCCTGTTAGAAAAGACTAATGGTACCACAGGTGGGCAGAGGAGCAGAGAGACTGGCAACAAAGGGAGGGAAACTGAGGAAGGCTTCCTGCTGGAGCTGATATTTAAGCTGGGCCTTGAAGGACTGGCAATATTAAGAATATTCTAGAAGCTGAAAAGTACCAGATAACAGAGAGACAGTATGGATGTGAGACCAGGTCAGATAGACGACAACAGGCGTGGTGTGGCCTGTCGGGCCTGTAGCTCCTCAAGTGGCATTCGGAATGGCATTGAAAGTCCTCGTGGTGCCACTCAGACTCAGCCCCTGGCTGCCAGTCCTGGCCCCTTGGCTTGGACACCGGTGTGACCTGGGAAGAAGTGGCACTTCATGCTGTGAGCAACAAGATACCACACTTGGATACACACACGTCTCAGATCCTGACTCCGGACCAACACCTGATGCCCAGGAGGGGCCTCTTTACCGCCTCTGGCTTTATGCTCTTTGAAAATGGGGCAAGAAGAAAGAGGTGCCCTGCAACACATCCAGTTCTCTTACAAAAGCTCGGGCTTTCGTTAGGGCTCATGGGATGGGACCTCCAAACACCCCTGGGGAAGCTGCCACGGTCTCGGGTCTCCCTGAAGCTCTTAGCAATCCCTCCCCCTTCCCGGGCCCGCGGGCCCCCGGCCCCCGAGCCGCCGCCGCCGCCGCCGGCCCCGAGGGGGTTAAACGGCCGCCAAGATGGCCGACTTGTTTTGCACTTCGGAGGGGTCACGCGGGAGGCTGCCCTTTGCCTTGGGGAGGCTGTCAAGGTCCCGCCGCCCTCTCTGGCGCTGTGCCCCGGGCGGCCTGACGGTATCTCCTCCCCTGCGCGTCCTGCAGGCCCGCCGAACTTTCCAGGTCCACGGCGAGCCAGACTGGCCACCAGGCCGGCCTTGGACGGCGAGGCAGGGGGGGCCGTCGGGGAGACGGGGGCCAGGGGGGCGCGCGGCTGGGTTTGGGCGAGGCGGGCCGAGGCCGCCGGCTGCACAGGCTACCCGCCCCGCCGCATCTCCCCCGCTCCGGGCTGAGGCCACCCCAGCTGGGCCCGGGCGGGCCTCCGAGGGCTGCTCCCGCTCCCGCCGGCGGCCTTCGCAGGGACGCCATGAACGTGGTCGCACTGCCCTCCAGTGGCCGGCCCGCCAAACAGCGTGCGGGGGCCGGCGTCCACCCGCTCGGCCGCCTTCTCGGAGAAGGGCTGCCCCTCGGCTGCCTTTGAACTCGTGGCTTTGCTCACCCCCGGTTCCTCACAGGCGGCCCAAGCTGCCCCTTGCCCCAGTGCACACCGATGGAGGAGCAGGGCATTTGCTTCCTCCAGTGGTTCTCAAACTTCACCATGCGCCAGGACGCCCTGGACCGTTGGTTCAAGCCCACGTGGCTGGGCCCCACACTCAAGGGCAGAGAGTTTCCATTTCTAAGAAGTTTCCAGGGGCTGCTGCTGCTGCTGGGGGTCCTGGGACCACATTTACAGAACAGCGGGCTCAGTTTGCTCATCCCGTCCTGGGGATTCTGGCGTCACTCATTGAATATATAATGCACCTGCTGGGCACCAAGGACAAGAAGCCACCACGACCATGACCAAGTTCCCACCCTTGCCGGGCTTACCGTAACAGAGGAGATAGACTCGTTTTTAACAAATAATCTCATAAATAAATATAAATTTCCATTTGAAAAGTTTTCCAATTCCTGTGAAGGGAAAGAATAAGATTCTCAAAGAACAGATA